CGGAATGCTACAGGTGGATGCTTTCGATGGGACAAAAGATCCCATGGACCATCTCAACACCTACAAAAATCAAATGGAGTTGTATGGATATCAAGATTCAGTGAGATGTAGGGCCTTTGCTATCACCCTAAAGGGCTCAGCCTTAGCATGGTTCAACAGACTCTCCCCAGCCTTGATTTTCTCTTTTAAATAGCTGTCAATCTCGTTTGTATCCCACTTTATCAAAGCTCGGACCTATAGAAAACCGAGCTACCACTTATTAAATGTGAAATAGGGACCTGATGAGAACCTATGGTCTTATGTCCAATGGTTCAACTCAGAACCTTGAAGGTGGATGTCCCAGACGAAAAATTTGTTATTACAGCCTTCATAGCAGGTCTGTGAGTTTAGTCAAAAGATTTGATATTTTTCCATCTCAAAGAACCCCTAGGCTAATATGGCGGAGGTGTTTGCCAAAACAGAAAAGTACATAAAATAGTGAGGAAGCGTTCCTCTCCAAGGTCGGGAGCTCTTCATCAAGAAAGGAGAAATGGAAGGAAGAAAATAAGAGAGAACGAGGCATGTCTCTAAGAAGAGATAGAGAGCGTTCCCCGAAGAGAAGAGAAAATGTCAAGGATCGCCTTGGCCCTCTACAACTAGAGCTACAACCAAAGTATACACCTCGGTAGCTCATCCCCTTGACTGCTACGGTGTCTCAGATACTGTATGAGATGCAAAATGAGAAGTTCTTAAGGTGGCCACCCCGGATGAAAGCAGACCCGGCAAAAAGGGATCCTACGAAGTATTGTGACTTCCACAGAGACCATGGTCAACACACCGACAACTGTATCCAATTGAAGAAGGAAATAGAATTTCTAATCTAGTGAGGGCAGCTGTGACGCTATGTGGCCAATGATAATCAATATCGAGCTCTCCCATCTCCACCCCCTCAGCGTCAAGCACCAGAGCCACACCAACAACCTATGAGAGAGATCAAAATGATATCTGAAGCATTTGCCAGAGGAGAAGGGTCCAGCTCTACCAGAAAGGCCCATTTGTAAAAAATCAAAGCCATAAAAGCTCCCGAAGTATATACTGTGTCTAAGTCTCCACGCTTAAACACTACTATCACTTTCTCAGATTCAGATCTGGAGGGCTGGCAACATCCCCATGATGACCATTTTGGTGGTAAGAGCTGTTGTGGCCAACAGGACTATCCATCGTGTTTTAATTGACAATGACAGCTTTGCAGAAATCATTTTTGCTTCTGCTTTCAACAAAATGGATATAGGAAGGGAAAAGCTTAAACTAGTAAGTGCCCACCTATTGGGATTCTCAGGAGAAAGGGTGATGCCCCTGAGGTCAATCCAACTCATCTTGACCTTAGGTAACCCACCCTGTCAGACTACAACAACTGTGAAATTCTTAGTAGTTGATGCACCTTCAGCATACAATATGCTCCTTGGAAGACCCTTGCTCAATTCTATAAGGGTTATTCCCTCTGTCTATCACCTTGTAGTGAAGTTTTCAACAAAAAACAGAGTTGAAGTTGTCTGAGGAAACCAACACGTAGCACGGGAATGCTACTTGACATCCATGAGAAATAAGGAGGTTGAGAGCATCCAATTGGATGAGCTTGACATGAGGGATGAACTCGAGACCAGGCCAACACCATCAGAAGAGCTAGAACCTGTTCAAATTGATGAGGAGCTAGAGCATCTTGTTTATGTTGGATCCAAGCTGAGCAAGGAGATCAAGGATCTCCTCATCTAATTCCTGAAAAAGAACAAGGAAGTTTTTGCATGGAAGCAAGAGGACATGAAAGGGATTGATCCCTCTGTCATCACTCACAAGCTCAGCGTGAATCCAACATATAAGCCCGTTAAGCAAAAGAGGAGGAGCTTCACCCCGGAGCGTCAAAAAATCATCAACGAAGAGGTCAGCAAGCTCCTTCACGCGAAAGTCATTCGAGAATTGGTTACCCAGTCTGGCTAGCCAATGTAGTCCTAGTCAAGAAGACAAACGACAAATGTCGTCTTTGCATTGACTTTACAGACCTCAACCGTACTTGCCCGAATGATAGTTTTCTTTTACTCCAGATAGATTTGATTGTAGATGCCATTACGGGACATGAGCTCTTCAGCTTCATGGATGCCTTCTCTGGGTACAATCAGATCAGGATGGATCCCAATGACCAAGAGAAGACCTCATTCATAATCGATCAAGAGACATACTGTTATCAAGTGATGTCTTTCGGGTTAAAAAATGCAGGAGCTACTTACTAGCGCTTGGTGAATAAGATGTTTCAAAAACAAATTGGGACCTCCATGGAGGTTTATATTAACAACATGTTGGTCAAGTCACTGAAGGCAGAGCTCCACATTGGGCATCTAGCAGAGTCGTTTTAAGTCTTGAGAGAATACAAGATGAAGCTCAACCCAGCTAATTGTGCCTTTGGGGTGTCAGCAGAAAAATATCTGGGCTTCATAGTTAATAGCAGAGGGATAGAGGCTAACCCAGAAAAGGTAAAAGCAGTGCTGGATATGCAACCTCCTTCCAACATGAGGGAAATACAACGTTTAACTGGGAGAATAGTTGTCATGAGTCAATTCATTTTCAAATCAAGCAACAAGTGTCAGCCCTTCTTTCAAGTCTTAAAAAAAGCCTTTCAATGGGATGCTCGGTGTGAAGAAGCCTTCAAAGCATTAAAAGAATACTCGAGCTCCCCACATGTCATGGTAAGTCCATTAGAAGGAGAAGTACTTACCCTTTACCTGGCTGTCTCAGAGTTCTCAACCAACGCAGCGCTAGTAAGGAAGAAGGACAGAGCTCAGCAACCAGTTTACTACTGCAGCCAAGCTCTGAGGGGGGCAGAAGAAAGGTATCCTAAAATGGAAAAACTCGTTTTAGCCTTAGTGACAACTGCCAGGAGACTAAGACCTTACTTCCAGCCTCATACTATCGAAGTCCCAATAGATCAACCTATAAAGCAGGTGCTGCACAAGCCATAATCTTCGGGGAGACTGGTTAAATGGCCCGTTGAACTTAGTGAGTTTAACATTAGATACAAGCCAAGGACAGCCATTAAGGGACAGATATTGACAAATGTTGTTACAGAATTCACAATTAGGATACCTCCAGAGACAGCGTAGTTAGTACCTGACCTCCTCACATAGAAACTTTCAATAGATAGAGCTGTCAATGCTCAGGGCAGTGAAGTTGGTTTGATTTTGAATTCCCCCGATGAGATAGATGTTGAATACGCACTGAGATTTTAATTCAAAGCTTCAAACAACGAAACCGAGTATGAGGCAGTCATAACAGGGCTCAACTTAGCTCATTCAATGGAAGTCGAGTAACTGGAGATCTGTAGTGACTCACAACTTGTGGTGAAACAGATAGAGGGTGCTTACGAGGCTAAGGGTGAAAAGATGGTCCTTTATCTTAGAAAGGTGCAAGAATTGATCAAGAAATTTATGCAAGTAATGATTATACATGTCCCTAAAACTAAAAATTCGAGAGAAGACGTTTTGGCAAGGTTAACAACAACTTCACAAGAAAATTTAGACAGGTTGATCCCTGTGGAGCATCTGGCGGAACCATCTGTGTGTATTGAGAATGGAGAAATTTTTCCTGTGTAGAGTCCAACAAGCTGGATGGACCCCATCGTGGAGTATCTCAAGAACGGGACCTTACCAGAAGACAACAAGGAAGCAGCAAAGCTGAGAACCAGGTCAGCTAGATTTTTCATTTTACAGGGAAACTTGTACAAGACAAGGTTTTTCAGCACCACTCTTCAAATGCGTGGGGAACGAGGACGCTGATTATATATTCAGGGAAATTCACGAAGGAGTCTGTGGCAATCACATCGGAGCTCGGGCTTTGGCAAAAAAGGCATTAAGGCAGCAGTATTACTGGCCCACTTTGCTCATAATATCTTTAATATTGCTGGCCTCTTATTATTTCAAGGCATGGTGATGGATAAGTCTATCAATTGATTGGATTTTGATCCAATTTCAATCCTAATCTAAATCTAATTAGTCATATATAGATTATTGAAATTTAAATCTGTTATCATTTATTACAGATTCAGATATAAATATATCAATATTCAGTTTGATTACAATTGAGATATACAATGTATTTAAGTGTTTTTTTAATAAAATTGAGTTAAAATTCAGACTTAATGTTGTAAATTTAGCTGAAATAAAGTCATACAAATCACCTCAAATAAACAATTTTTACAATCGTCGTATCGGATCGGCCCAAATCCTATCCAATCAGATCCATTGACAATGTTAATTGTCGGTCTCTCCCTCAAAAAATTACATCAGTCATAGGAGTCTGTAATTAATAGATAACAACAGACAATACAATTTAGTTTAGCTAAACCACAGCCCAGAAATGTATAATTCATAAACCTAATATCTCCATTTGACCTAAAGCCGCATTCATTAGGGAAGCAGAGATTCTAAGAAGGTAGCTCCAAGGAACAGAACGAACCCATTAAAACATTAAAACATTAAAAAGAGAAACTCCTAAACATGAACAGAAATTTTATAACCCCAATTTAATGTCAAATATTTTGCATGACTCTAAGAACTGAAGTTTGTGATTCATTCACCGTTTTTCAATCATAAAAGATAAAATTAGATAGGGTAATTTCACTCTACAAAAAAAAAATTAAAAATCAATGTGAAGTTAGGACTTTTTGAGGTAAATTCATGATTGATCATGAATACCTTTAATCAATTGTAATTTAACCATTAAAAGTTGTAACTTTATTTTTAAAAATTGTAATATTTCATAATCGATCATGATATTTTAAAATTAATCATGTATTTTCTATTTGTAACTTTTACTTATGAAAATTGAAAGTTAAACTAAAAAAATTATAAATTTCAATACGGTATCAAAATGGATGAAAGTTATGCAAGTCATATCTTATCAGCAAATTATTCTTACATAATGATAGTGACGCAAAATAACAAAAACTGATAAATAGTTTTTATAACCAGATATCAATGGAAACCCGAATTCTTCTTCTTGCAAAGCTTTAGCAGCTCCTCCACCACCACTTCAATCCCTTCTTCTCCTTTCATTTTAAATTTCTCACTCATTTCCCGTGCTTTCCTCCTCACACCCTCCCCGTTTTCCTCCACAACCACCTTTCTTATAACTTGTGCAATCTCTTCTCTGTGGAGCTTTCCATTATTGTCTCTCACAACCTCCACACCAACACCAACCTCCTCCGCCACTCTAGAATTCAATGGCTGGTCAATATGCATGGGTATTGCTATAATTGGAACACCAAACTTCATGCTTTCCATTACAGAACTCCACCCACAATGGCTTACAAAGCCACCTGTACCATGATGCCCAATGATTTTAACCTGTGGGGCCCATCCTTCCACCACCCATCCCCTCTCTCCTACCCTCCCAAAAAATCCTTCTGGTAGTGCATCTTCAACCCTAATTTTCTCCCCTTTTACGAAACCTCACCACCCATATGAAATTAACCATGCTAATCTCTAGCCCATGAGCTACCTCTTCCATCTCTTCCTTGGACAGAAAATACTCACTGCCAAAAGAAACAAACACTGTTGAATATTTGTTCTTTTTATCTAGCCATTGCATGATGTCCTTATGCTCATCTTGACTAACAGGGTCTTCAACAAGTGGACCAAGGGGAACAAGCTTCTTCTCAGCTAAAACCGATAGATAATCAATATATTTTCCCTCAATTTCTCTCAAAATTTTTATCAGAACGATGTCACATGATCGTTCAAGAGCTTCTAGGAAACGATACTTATCTTTAACATGATCCTCAGGAGTGGAGACCGCATCCCGAATCATGAGGCTTTCATACCCACGAAGATGAATTTCCTGGAATGGGAATTTTTCGCCACCCATCTTCAGCATGTTAAGGAGAAAAGAAGTTGTCGCTGCTCCATTAGTAAGAAACTGAACAGCCGGGACATTGTGAGAGGAAGCTATGGCTGCTGCCCATTGTTGATTAAAGTCATATATAAGCAGGTCAGGTTTTAAGGTCTTGACGATGTTGTCGAAGTTATGGCTTGCCATCTCAAAAGCATCTTTGAGTGTAGACGCAAGATGTGCTGGGAGGCCATTGTTGGTGTGGTAATGAGGAGGAAGGTCAGGAGAATCTGGCAAATGGAGTTCAACTAGTTGTATGAAGAGAGAGTACTTGTGGGTGATTCTTTCTTTGATGGAACTATGATTTATAGGTGTAGAGCAAAGGGATAAATAGAAGTTTCTCTCTGCTAGTTTTTTGGCTAGCTCTAGAAAGGGAGAGATGTGACCGTGAGCCAACCATGGAAGCATAAGAACACTCAAACTAGCTTGTTGGGTGCCCATAATTTTCTCTGTCTCTCTCTCTACGTGTATGTTGTTGTGTGCGAATTGAAGCTCTTCCATAAACACCTTTTTAACGGTTCAAGTGGGATTTTTTCTTATCGAAGATGCCTTGAATGGCCAGCTTCTCTATCAGTTCCTGGTTGTTAGAAATTGAATACTATAGCTTCTCTACCATTCTCTCGGTCAACAAACAGATCCTAAGTGTAGGTGGAGAGTTGAAGAATAGATGTATTTTGTGAAGTAGAATTGCAAGCTGGCAAAGAGTTATGTTCAAATGCACTGTACTTATTCATTACGAAGTCTTACCTGATAAACTTAGCCCCTAGAGCATCTTTGATAGAAAGCATCTTTAATTAAAAGTGAAATATTTTTAGAAATTCCAATAAGATTTGTTATTCTTGTAAAAATAATTTCTGTATTCAAAAAATTAATTTAATTAAATATGTATATATTTCATCTTTTTATTTATTAATTATAAAATAAAAAATGAGTTTGATTTTTCAATTGTAGAGAATCAAATTGGACTCTCTGTCTTAAAAAGTCTAAAACAAATCTATTAGAGATACATTTTTATTGATCCACTCTCTAAAACATAAAGTCTGAGTAAAAATAGAGATCATATTAGAGATAGAACTCACTAAATTTCGTGACTTACACTTTCTTTTTGATGAAGTATGTAATTTCTACTGGCTGGGTGACATAAATTTCGCGGTAGGTGTCTTTCATGCGATAGATGTATGCATTGAGAAAGAGAGCCATTCTATAAGAATCTCCAAATGGGTAATCATTACACCCTTCAATGTAATTTCATTTACATCCCTTTCCTTGTTTGTATTAGTCTCTATATAGTTCTTTGTTTCTCTAATTAACACTTGCACTCTAATATTATGCTGCATAATTTATGTGTAATTTACAAATTTCAAGTCTGCAATTTCTGTGTAATACTTTATGTTTTTAATTTGTGTTTTTTTCAGAATAATAAAATTCTCTATACTTCAAGTTGATAGAAGTGGCAACTGTTTGTTTCTAGAGAGAGAAGCTCTGACTTCTCTCTAGGGTTTTCACCAAAACATCATGAATATTGATCCAACTCGCAACATGATTCCTCCAAAACTACTAGACATAACTAAAAACTTTGAATACTACATATCAAACTCATCAAAATCTTTTAAATCCAGTACAATCAACCACCCAGCCAATGCAACTTCAGACGAAAATATACAATGTTTGATACTTCATACCCTACTGCCCAAGGCCGGCATTCAACCACTCATACTAATCAAATGTCGAGCAATTAATATGGGCAATAAATGCAGTAAATATAAAAGTGAGATCAACACAGACAACACACAGATATAGAGTTGTTCAGTCATGGTGACCTACTCCACTTTGAAGGCAGCAACGGTGGTCGGAGGACTTTATTAATAAAGTAGTTAAGGGAAGAGAATGAGTAAGCTCTAGGTGTGGTGATGTCGCTATGAGAGAGATAGTTGTGTGTGGGATGTAGAGGTGTGTTCTTCATATGTAGAGGGTTTATAATTTATAGGCACAGAACCTTAGTTGAGGCGGTGGCGTGAAGAATAGGTGACTAGTCCTTCGGGGAAGATAGTTACAGTTAAGAATAAATACAATTAAAGTTAATCTTGATCTTTGAAAGTGGCTATCCCAATAATTACTCTCCATGAGCTGAGTTTGACCTGCTTTATGGCTCATTTAGGCTTACTCTATGGATTGGGCCTAACCCACTTGGATCTGGGCTTATCATTTGCCCCCATGCCCCAAGCCCTAGTTGTGAGGTAGGGAGGTTAAGGGCACGAGTGAGCCTCGGGACAGATAAGGGTTTTTCGTTCTCCACATAAGCCCCCTTGTTTCTCCTGTTCTACCGCTAGACACTAACTGTGTTGTCACTAGATTGGAAATGATTCCATGTCAAAAAAAACCCCCTTTTCCCTATTTAGGGCATTTCTCACAAGGTTTCACAAGTTCACATAAATAGATCCAAGAATCACCCACCTTCCTTAGTTTCCCATTGTTTTTCAGGTTGGACTACACATTCCTTTTCACTCCTTAAATCACAAAGGGTTTTCCAAAGGTGATGGAAACGGGGATCGGTGGAAGTGGATCACTACCAAAACCAGGCTTCAATGATGTTTTAGCGAGGTATAACGAAGACTCGTACCCATCCATGGTGACACCCATCATCAGAGGTGAGGGCCAACTACATATGGGCAGCTCTGGAGGGGATGTCATTGCCCAACTTAGCGGGCCATTGGACAAAAGAAAGAAGGGCAACGTCCTTGGGTAGCGCCAGCCAAGCACAAAACTAGGGTGAGCACAGGTCAAGTGATGATGCACAAGGCATGGGCGATCTGGGCATTAGTTCTAGATGGTTGGATGTAGGCATCAATGATGGAGGGACCACTCATAGACAGCTAAATGACGCTAAAGGTGGAGGGGCCAATAGCCCAGGCGACACCACAGACAAAGAATTCCTAGGCACTTGCACTGGTGGAAGAAGATTAAATGGTTATGGCAGGATGGGAAGCAAAGGTATAGACAGTTCCTTGGGCATGTTGGGTGACATTGGTAGAGGAGAGGAGGTAGTAAGTGCTGATTGTTGGCCGTGTGGGCAACGTCGTATGAGCAAACCACATAGGCGATGCCATGCAAGGCCTGCGTGACTCTAGTCTAGGCACTTGTAGTGACCTGGGCTATGCCAGCCTACACGGACAGTGGCCTGGGTGATTCAAGAGAGAATGGCTATATGTAACGCCCCAAAACACACCCTAGACAGCATTACATTCTAAAATCATTCATATCATGAGAGCACTAATATAATCCCTTAAGAAACAAGACTTCATTTGTCATCCACGAATATTTACAACATTATCCAAAAGAATAAGCCCAAGTCATAACTATTACATCTCAAAAATTAATTAAAGAAGCGCAGCGGAATAAACAAAAGAAGCTAGACTACACAATGTTCCAAAAGAATGTCCTAGTCTAGTACAAAAGGAAATGAAGTCGCTCTATGCGCCCACCTTGGGATCCACACTCCCGTCCAGTGGAGTCTCCCAAGTAGCGGGCTCCTAGACCCTTACCTCCTCCTTCTCAAGCGGGTAATCTGAAAAATGTTAGCGATAGGGGGTGAGCACGAAGCTCTGTAAAAAAATTCTCCCAAACCCATACAAGATTTAGAAAAGTATTTAAATAGGTCGGTCTCAATTTTAACATAACGTAGATACATAATTTAAAATAAAGCAGTGACATTTAAAAAGGATCTCAAGTTTATTTTAAAACATTACTTAAATGAATAAACGAGCACTGCATACAAATAATAACCATTAATTGCCATAACCAATTCTCAACAATTCTTTCGGTAGGTGGCATACTTTGTGGTAACCTCCACCCCCCTTTAGGTCACCTTTGATTTTCAAGCATCCTTACCGAGAACCTCTTGAAAATGGATGAGCATCCTTATATGGAAGCTCTCATCAATCACTACATCATTTTTCAAGCATCCTTACCGGGAAACTCTTGGGAAGGGGTGATCATTCTTACAAGGAACCTCTCACTCATGTGCATCACAAACAACCTAACCAAACATACAATTCCAACATTTATTTCAATTTACAAGCATCTATCCAAAATTCACAAAATATATCATATAACAATTCCACAACCAACTAAGAAAATACATGAGATCACAATAACATCATTTTTCTCCCCAACACAAAGAACTAGGGTTTCGAAATCCATAATAAAGAAAGTATTTGGGAAGAAAATACATCACTCTCCAAAAATTAGGATTTTAAAATTAGAAAGGAGATTTCATGAGTATTAAACCCTACTTTGTTCAAAACATGTAATCCTTGTAAAAAACCTAAAAGATGATGATTTCATAGCATATATATACCATTGATAGCCAAAACATACATATATAAATACCCTAGCCTCAATGTAAGTGAATGAGAGAAAACCTCTACCTTGAATCCTTAGCTTTTGAGTGAAGAACAAGAATATTTAATCTTGAATCACCTTTAAATCTCTTATTTTTCCCTTCCTTTCTTCTTCTCTAATGCTCTCTAGGGTTTCAAGAGGTGTGGGGGTGTGAGGGGAGTGAAGGAAATGAGAGCCAATGAGATGAAAATGAGTTTAAAACATAGCAGCCCCGAAAAACACTGTTCACAGGCTATTTTGGGTTTCTCCAAATTTACGATTTTGCCACTAAGAATCTTCAATTTGATCCATATGACTACTCTAAAGTTTGTCGACGTTCTGGATTCATTTTTAATGTTATTTTAACCTAAAATTATTTATTTTTATGATTTATCTCAAAACCTAAGTCAACGTACACCCGAAACACTAAAGTTTCTATTTTACCCATCCGAATCGACTATTAATGAAATTTTGCGATGTTTGCAAGTAAAATGTGATAAAGGGTGTTTCTTAAAGCCTTTTATACTTATTTGAAGCCTAAAAGTATTCATTATTCTTATATTTTGATTTAGGATGCAAATGGAGACATTAAATGCAAAACGAAGCTAATTGGACTATTTTGACATTGTTTCGTTATCTGAGCATAACTCTCTCATTCAAGCTCCGATTGAGATGATTCAAGATGCTATGGAATGATACGAAAGAGCTCTAAAACTTTCATGTTTTGAGTTTTGAGAGATATTGACTGCATCAAGGTTTAAATCGAACTTGAAGTTGCAGCAGTGCACTGTTCACATGCACTGTTCACAGCCCGTCTTCGTCTCTTTTTCATTTCCAATCTATTCCTAAGCCAACCAAATCCGTCTCAAACCTCTCCAACACATATTTATACACCAAACCTATTTAATACAAGTTCTAGGACCTAAAATTTCATATTTTCACTTATTAAAACTAAATTTGAACTATTATTTTCACTAACATTTTAAATCTCTACTTTTCCAATCTACCAAATTCAAACACACATCACTACATATATCCACATTTTTTTTTACCACAATTATTTACTATATATCTATATACATATATAAAAGAAAATGCGGGGTATTACAATCCACCCCTCTTAAAGAAAGTTTTGTCCTCGAAACTTACCTCAAGTAGCGAACAAATATGGATACTTCTCTCGCATTTCTCGCTCCGGTTCCCATGTAGCTTCCTCCACTCCATGGTGTTGCCACAAAACCTTCACCAATCTGATAACTTTGTTGCGAAGCACTTTTTCCTGGGCGTCGAGAATTTCTACCGGTTGTTCTTCGTAAGTTGCTCCGTCTTGAATTTCAATCTCCTCCAATTTCACGACTGGAGTTGCATCCGAGTGACACCTTCTCAACATGGACACGTGGAACACATTATGTACTCCGGATAGCTGGGCTGGTAGTCGAAGTTGATATGCCACCTTGCCTACCGCTTTGATTACCTCAAACGGTTCGGTATATCTTGGCGCTAACTTCCCCTTCTTACCGAATCGAAACACGCCTTTCTTGGGTGATACCTTGAGAAATACGTAGTCTCCCACCTTGAATTCTAAGGGTCTTCGTCTGTGGTCCGCATAGCTCTTCTGTCTACTTTGCACCGTCCGTAGCCTCTCTCGGATGAGTTGAATCTTCTTCGTAGTTTCTTGAACAATGTCTGGTCCAAACAAACTACTATCGCCGACTTCTAACCAACACATAGGTGATCGGCATGGTCTTCCATACAATGCTTCATACGGTGCCATCCCAATAAATTCTTGATAGCTGTTTTTGTAAGCAAAATCCACCAACGGTAAGTGGTCGCTCCAACTCCCCTTGAAGTCCAACGCACAAGTGCGTAACATATCCTCCACAATCTGTATCACCCTCTTGGATTGACCATCCGTTTGGGGATGAAAAGCCGTATTGAAGTGTAACTCTGTCCCCATCGCTTGTTGTATACTCTGCCAGAATCTCGCCACAAACCTAGAGTCACGATCCGACACAATCGAGAGCGGAACGCCGTGTAACCTCACTATCTCACGGATATACAGCTGGCTCAAAGTCTCGAATGTATCCGTGATCTTCATACCCAAAAAGTGAGCGGACTTGGTGAGTCTATCCACAATGACCCACACTACATTATGCCCGCGCGACATCCGTGGTAAACCCGACACGAAGTCCATGGTGATGTGATCCCACTTCCACTCTGAAATAGGCAAAGACTGTAGGACTCCTCCTGGCCTTTGATGCTCAATCTTCACCTGCTGGCACATTGCACATTTTGTCACATACTTGGCCACATCTCGCTTCATTCCCCTCCACCAGTATTGATGCTTCATATCCCTATACGTCTGTGTGCTACCGGGGTGGATAGTAAACTTGGAGCGATGACACTCTCCTAGTATCTTCTCCTTTAGGCACGAATCATCGGGAACATATAGCTTCTTCCCATATCTCAACTCTCCATTCTTCCAAGACCATACTTTAATCGCCTCTCCATTCTCCAATCGGGCTCTAATCCAATCGAGTTCCAAATCCAGGCATTGCAACTCTACTACCCGTCACCGAAGCGTCGGTTGAGCTACAAGGTTGAATAGATATGGTTGATACTCCGGTCCATCCACCCATAGATCGTACTCCTCCAATGCATCAATCATTTTTTACCTATTTACCGCAAGAAATTGATTTCACTCCAAGACTTCCTGCTAAGAGCGTCGACAACTACATTGGTCTTCCTCGGATAGTAGTTGAGCATGAACTCATAATCTTCCAAGTACTCAATCCACTTTCTTTGCCAGAGATTCAAGTCTTTCTGTGTGAAGATACACTTGAGGCTTTTATGGTCCGAGAACACTTGAAATTTCTCCCCGTATAAATAACATCTCCACAACTTAAGAGCAAACACCACCGCAGCCAGTTCCAAGTCGTGTGTGGGATAATTCTACTCATGCAACTTGAGTTGCCTCGAGCCATACGCCACTACATTCCCTCCTTGTATTAGAACGCATCCCAAGCCTCGTAGTGAAGCATCGGTGTAGACATCGTAGCCTTCCCCACTACTCAGAATAATGAGGATAGGTGTCGTCGTCAACTTCTCTTTCAAGGTGCGAAAAGCTAGTTCACATGCTTGAGTCCACAAAAATTTCTCCCCCTTCTTTGTAAGGCGAGTTATCGACATCGCAAGCTTGGAGAACCCTTCCACAAACCTACGATACTAGTCGGCTAATTCCAAGAAACTCCGTACTTTCGTTACGTTCTTCGGTGGTTCCCATTTCATCATGACCTCAATCTTTGTGGGATCAACCGCTACTCCTTGCTCGGACACAACATGGCCAAGGAACTTCACTTCCTTCATCCAAAACTCACACTTGCTCATCTTCGCATATAACTTATGTTCTCTCAATATTTGTAGCACAATAGAGAGATGACGAGCATGTTCCTCCTGAGTCTGTGAGTAAATCAATATGTCACCAATAAACACAATGACAAATTGATCGAGGTAAGGCCGGAAGACTCTGTGCATCAAATCCATGAAGGCTGCGGGGGTATTAGTCAATCCGAACGACATCACCGTATACTCGAAATGACCATACCGGGTATGAAAAGTAGTCTTAGGAATATCCTCCTCCTTAATCCGCAACTGATGATACCCCGTGCGAATATCAATCTTGGAGTAATACTTCGAACCCTTCAACTGGTCAAATAAGTCATCAATTCTGGGCAACGGATAC